CGGCTCGAGGTGGCTCCCGCGCGAGATGGCTCCGCGGCAGCGAGCGCTCTGAAACGGAGAGGAAAAAAATACCTACATCTCCCCACTTCCCCCCTTCGCCGCGGCCGAGGAGCAGCGAGTGCCAGGAAGGAAGTAAAGTTGCAAACAACCTGCGGCAGCTGTAACTTTCTGGGCTGCTCCAGCTGCATGTGTTCAAGGTGCCTTTGATGTGTGCGGCAGTTACTGGAAAGTGGACTGCAGCTTTCCCACTCCTCAGCCCTCCCCTCCCCTCCCACCACCGCCACTTCAGCCCACACACGCAATTTGTTTGAGAGAAACTGATGAAATGAACAAGAAGTGGTGAATTTCCCAAGCGACTTTCCGTAAAGAGGGAGCGCGGAAGAGGAGCTGCAGCGAGCGCAGCGCCCGGAGCTGCCCACGAGGGACCGGCCGGCAACCGCGCGGGACCTGTGGGGGCTGCTGGAGTGTTAATGTCTCTCCGTGGTGAGATGCAAAAAGCCTCATCTGCTGGCGTTTGACTTGCGATGCCGGCTGCTCACTAGAATGCAAACCCTTGCACAGGATGAGAACAGGTTTGTGGCAAATTCTCCTGGAAATGTTTCGCTCCCCAGCACCACCACCTTCCTGTCTGAGATGTCAGAGAAGATCGTAACAGTGACACAGTGGCAGATACCTCCGCTGGGTACCCTTTGCTGTTCTTTGGAGATGTTAAGGCAGAGATAAATCTTTTATGCAGCTGTCTTTTCCTATCTGTAGCGGTTGTTGCACAAGCTGCACTTGATTGCAGCTAAAATATTCTTTTTAAGATCCATTTCACAAAATGATGAAAAATAAACACAGATGGGAAAAGTGGGGGAGAGAAAGCTGTAATGAAGTAGCAATGGTGGATTTATTTTCCTTCCTTCTCCCCTCCAGTGCCCTCCCCCAAAATGCGAGCTTTTTCTGATCACAAAATGCTAGGCAGGCTTCGATTTTAGAGCAGCAAAGATTTTTTTGGCTCTTTGGCTGGGATGTGGAGGAGAGACTTCCAGCAGCGGTGCTTGCCTTACTGATTGACTTTCCTGAATGCCTGTAGCTACTCAGCTTCTGCCTTGCCTTCATCCCTTCTAAAGTATGTCTTGCTTCTTCCATCGCCTTGCAGGTCACTCGTCCAGAATGCCAGAGGAAAGTTCCCCAAAGCGGAGTCCTCTGAACATCCCGTATAAGGACCTGCCTCATATCATCAATGCTGACGGGCAGCATCTCTTCTGCAGGTATTGGAAGCCAGCAGGAACTCCCAGGTGAGCACTTTCAAGCAATACTCTTTCTGCTGTCAGTAAATAAGGCTCTGTTCATGTAATTACTATTTATGGCATGACTGGCATTGCAGGGGTGTGTGAATACAGCTTTACTGAACTGCTAAGATGTTTCCTTCATCTGAGAAAGCTCCTACTGTAAATACTGTATTCTCCAAGCCTTTGCTTGCTCAAGTAGGCCTTACTGCTGTGAAACAGAGTCGTTTTTATCGATGGGCAGTTGGGCAGGGTGGCAGTGCTACAGTGTAGGACACACAGGTGTCTGAAGCCCATCGGCAATTAAAAGTATCTTCAGACTATTGCCACAGGCAGAGCAATGAGATGCAGGCTTACTGATGTCTACTCCTTTTCATTTTCTCAATGCCAACACTTCAAACAGCAGCATCTGAATTCAGTTTGAACAGTAATTGCAGAAATCTCAGGACAGCAGGACTTGGTTTGACTGCAGTGCTTTTAGGGGTGTTTTAAAATTTGTAGTTAATGATTTAAGGAGCTCCTTCACTGCAAACTGATTTCAAAACTGAATTGAAATAATGCCTTTTACATAATTTAATTTATCTCTTTCCTGTAATGGATTTCTGTGCTGATTATGTGCTGATCAGAATCTGCTGTAGAAAGCCAGCTCAGTGCTTCCCTAGTTGTTTATGATCATTTTTCTTTGTGACAGTGTCTGTTTTAAGATTCTGACTTGCATATATTCCTGCATAAGTAGCTACTTTATAAAAATCTGGATATTTTGTATTGTTTTCTTTTTCTACAAGCCATCAGGATAAGCTATAATGATTTTGTACAGCCAGGAGGCATTTGGGGAAAAAGTTGTTCGAGCAGTTAGTTGGGAGCTAAACTTTGGCCAGGTTACACATCCTTCAATGTCCAAATCAACCCGCAGGGGTGCTGAGAGATGGAAAGGTCCCAGCTAAAGCTGGTCCATGAAACCTGGCTGCAGGATTCATGCCAGCCAAGCAGACATTCGCTGTGGGAGCGACGCACAAGGTGGCCGAGCAGCCCGGCAATGTCCGCTGCTACCGCGTCCCCTTGGGGAGGTGGTGTCCGCTGTGCCCAGCTGGGTTCACTGGCTCTAGAACATCCGTCTTGGTTTAAGATCACCTGGTCCACGGAGCGTTGATTAGTTACTTCCAATTGCTGCCTTGCAGAAACGGGGAGAAAACTTCTGGGCACTGGTATTTTGCATAGTCCTTGTACCGGCCTAGAGATTTCCTCTACAGAAAAAAACTGGTATCAAAACAAGCTTCTACTGTGAAACCAGCTTGTCTCATATTATAATGCTAATTAATCATTAACTGCCCACAATGTTCTTCACCGAGTTATTGAATCGCTCTCTCTTTTCATCTTTAATTTCTTAGCAAATTACTAGTGAGTGGATATGTCTTTGATCAAGAAATGAAAGGATGATAACGAACTGAAAGTTAAAACTTGGCGTCCAAGCTCTTCGCTTAGTTAATATTTTTCAGGACTCTGTGCACCAAGCAGTTAATTGAAAGGGAGTTTGCCCTAGTTTTGTGACAACAAAGTAGATGGGATCAGTGTTGCTCATTTACAAGTGGTTCCTAAGTGTGTGTTTGTGCGTGCATATTTGTGTACAAGGCGTGGGCATGCTGTTTATTATTAGCTCTTTCAGCATTGTTATGTATGAGAGATTGTAAGGAACTGAATAACAAGCTGGGGGCCTGCATTCTACATTCAGAAATGCTCTTGAAGTGCTTTGATAGAAAGGCAGACCAAAAATACATTTTTTCCTATCACTCTTCATAAGTAGCTCAGCGTTTTCTGCCTCATATGCAGAAGCTCAGCAACTTTCATCTAATTTTAAATGTTCAGCAGAAAGGGTACGCATATATATAGGGAGAGAGAGACACCTCGGGGGACTGTTACAGGCCCATTACCAATTTATGCTATTTCTAATACTGAAGGCAACTCTTTCCATCGTCTAACTGAACGGTTGATTCAGGTTGAAATCCTAACTTTAATGAGCAATGCTATAATAGCCAAACGGCGGGATCTTTCCTTGATCCATTATGTATCTAACTCCAGCTAGGGCTACAGAAACCTTTTGAATGCAGATGTTGGAAGGTTATCGTTGACTTGGCTTCTATTAGGATAGAACGTATCGTCCTTGATCCCCTCAGGGAGAAAGACCAGGGTGTCTGCCAATGGAAAAATGAACGTGGTGCCTGCCTGGGGCTGAGCAGCACACGAAGGGCAGCCCCGCTCCGAGACGTCGCCCCGCGGAGCCGCCTCCTTCCCTCCAGCCCGTCGCGCCGGCCCGCGGAGCTGGCTGAGGCCTGCGCTGGCCTAACGCACTGTGGCCTCGCTTTTAAAAGCCGTTTGTCAGGAAGATGGGAAATTCTGTAAGGATCCGTTGCCTGCTGCTCCCAGATGCCCAGGCTGTGCTCCTGCGCGGTGCTGCTCTGCCCCATCAGCCCATCCTGGTGCACATATGGAAGCTTTGCCCGTCGCGCCGGCCCGCGGAGCTGGCTGAGGCCTGCGCTGGCCTAACGCACTGTGGCCTCGCTTTTAAAAGCCGTTTGTCAGGAAGATGGGAAATTCTGTAAGGATCCGTTGCCTGCTGCTCCCAGATGCCCAGGCTGTGCTCCTGCGCGGTGCTGCTCTGCCCCATCAGCCCATCCTGGTGCACATATGGAAGCTTTGTTGTACGTGCCACCGAGGCCAAGGTTGTGGTGCCCGTGAAAGGCACCTATTGTGAGTTCCTCCGCGGGGTCCGCTTTGTTCTGCAGGGGGATTTAGGTGATTACTTCGCAGGAAGCTGACACACAAAGGCGCTCAGATGTCACAGTGATTAGACGAGGTAGACGGAGTAGGTATTAATGGCGCTAAGGAGGGAGGCTGGCTGTGTTTGCCACTTCTTCTTGGGCCAGGAGGTCACTCCCGAAGGAGAGCAGGGGCCGGGGTGGCCTCTCTTGCCTGCTCGCAGTAGAACAGCTCTCAAGCTGCCCAACTTGTTGAGCCAGTTTCGTCTTAAGACATAATTAAGCAATCTTGTTGATGCAGTGCAGAAAAGGCCAGCGTGTTCCGGTGTCATTTTCTTGTGTCATGCCAACAGCGGGATTTATGGAGCATGACAACAGGTAACTCTTGGGCGCACAGGGCTCTCAGTAAATGCGAAGCTTAAGAACTGGGCTAGACAGAGTAAGTTCCGTGTGTTTTAATGTTGTTTGGAGGAACTAAATCACTGATAACAAAACATTAATCTCATGCCTATGACATGTCCAAGTAACTGAGGAAATTCTACTTTAATGGGTCAAAATATAAGCAAAAACAACAGCTTCATGCAAGGATAAAATCTCGGCCACCACTCCAAGCGGCCTGAGTCAAAACATGAGGTAACAGGAGGTGAGGAACTAAGAGACCACGTTCTGTTCCCAGCTCTCAGACAAAGCTGCTAAGAATAGAGGTGGGATGAGGAAGAGGAAGGAAAGCAGGGAGAAGTCAAGACATTTCCTTTGAGGCCCCTAAAGGGCCTGGAGAAGTTCAGAGATGACCTTCTTTTCCTCTCTGTTTTGTATCCCTTAGCCTTTCTGGATGCCTCAGTTGTTACTGTCACTGCTTATGTAAGTGTAAGCAATTTGAGGATCACTTTCAGCCCCTCTGTATGACCCTGAGTAGCCTTTTGAGATTCATGGACCTAGCCGAGTTTTTTAAAGGCGCTGGTAACCTGTAGCCACCATTGACCTCAGACAGAGAGTTCATCTCTCCCCCATAGGTATGGATCGGTTACTCTAGGCTGAACTCTTGAAGCTGGGGACATTGGAAATGCTTGAGATGCTTTGGAAAAAGCGGAACGTCTTCGAAGGTGAAGCTTCCTCATCAAGCAGAAATAACAATCTGGCTGTCTTGATAGATCGCTAGTATCAAGGTAGTGATCTTGAGGTTCACCTACACCTAGGTACATGATTGCAAGCAAGTGAAGACGAGAGGCCACAAACGTGTTCCTGGTTGCTTGTTAATGCGGAGTAAAAGGGGTTGACTCAACTTTAAGCGGGTGTGGTGAACCCGGTATTGTTTGGGTATAGCCTGACCTTGCAGGGCTTCTTTCAGTTGTACTTACAAAAAGGGTGATTAAAAATACAAAATGAAACAAACAAAACCCACCCGCTTTTCTATTTACATTTTATTTGGATTTTATGCTTTAAAAAATGCCTGCTGTTCATTCTGACTTGTTAGCATTGAAGCACCAACCCAATAAGAAGAAAATATTTTTCTCTCTTCCTGAAGGACTTTTCAGAATTGCCTGTGGTGCAGAAATACAGACTGCCTTTATACTTGAACCAGCCCTTAAATTGTTGAGTATTGCTTGCTGATTTTGGCACTTTGTTGCCAGCATTTCTATGGCATTTCCAGAAAAACTGCCCAGCTCCCAGCATGAGCAGATGACAAAGTTGAATGTGACTTTCAGAACCTTCCAAAATGTATAAATAAATAAATAAACTGAAGCAAATTCAAAGCAAAAGGAATCAAGTCACTAATTATGATGGCTTTAATTATACTGTGCAGTGTTAGACTTTAGACATTGAAAGTGAAAAAATAGCTGTCTGATGCATTGAATGCATTTCTGTTCCATTTGGCTTTTTGGAATTGGTGGCAGCTCAGCTGCAAGAGGTGTCCAAGCAAGGTAGCCTCCTTACAGGGATTTCCAATCCAGTGTCACTGTGGAACAGGACTTCTGTTTGCACTAACGAGGTCGACCTCAAACAAAAGCACAAGGACCAAATGTGTCTGGTGCCTCCACGCATGGCGCACAGGGCAAATAACAGATTTTTGCTTAAGGATTGTCATTGTCAAATCAACATTTCAGACTATACTTGCTATATTGCTCTTGCCTGTGTCTCTGAAGCCTCTCTTCCCCTATTCATCAACCTCATATATGTTCCTTTAATGCTTATGTTCTCTTTGCTCTGCATGACTGCTTTATTCACTGTGAATGGGGCAACCTTTTGGCATTTCTT